AGCAGGAATTGGCTGTGGTACCTCCCAACTCCACTGTCTATTATGAGATTGAGCTGGAATCCTTTGTCAAGGTAAGTTAACCGAATTTTCTTGAAATATGTTAGTTTATAACATATTGTATCTGACTACATGGTCTTGAAATTGTAAATTGATATGTGGTGTTGTTCCATCAGGAGAAGGAATCATGGGATATGGTTGCGGAAGAGAAAGTTGAAGCAGCAGGTAAGAAGAAAGAGGAAGGGAATGCCTTATTTAAGGCGGGTAAATATTTGAGAGCTTCAAAGAGATATGAGAAGGTAAGTTGCAGATAAACATGCTTGGATGCCTCGTTTAACTTGTTTTGTTCTGTATTAACCTGAGCGTTATTCCTTGCAGGCTGTGAAGTACATAGAATATGATACCAACTTCCGTGAAGAAGAGAAGAAACAGGCAAAGGCATTAAAAGTCGCATGCAATCTTAACAATGCAGCTTGCAAGTTGAAATTGAAAGATTACAAAGAAGCAGAGAAATTGTGCACTAAGGTTTGTTTTCAGTGTGGCATGTGTTAGGCACTTATCCGAAGTTCCTAACTTGCTTGACTTCAGTTTATCTACTTAAAGCTTACAAGAGATGTTATGTTGGCATTCCAGGTACTAGAAGCAGAGAGTAGAAATGTAAAAGCTCTCTACAGAAGGGCTCAGGCATATATCCAGTTGGCTGACTTGGACTTGGCCGAGTTTGACATCAAGAAAGCTCTTGAGATTGACCCTAACAACATGTATGCATAGCAGCTGAAGTCAAATGTTACTGCCACATTGTGTTTTGTTGTATCTTACTCATATAAGATGGCTCGTCTATGCTTATTGGTAGGAATGTGAAGCTGGAATACAAAACTTTGAAGGAGAAGATGAGGGAATACAATAAGAAAGACGCCAAGTTTTATGGCAACATGTTTGCAAAGATGAGCAAGGTAGAGTCTCTTGGTTCTCTCGAGTTCTAGTGAACGTGTGGTTGACTAGTCTGGTTTTTGTTGATTAGTGGATTAAAGTAATTGTATGTGAACGTGTTATCTTGTCCTCTGGTTCTTGCAGAACGCAGCAGCTAAGGAGGCTGAACCCACGAGCGTAGACAGCAGTGCGTAAGTGGGGTTTTTCTTTTGGTATGAGCTTCAAGTTTCCCATCATGAAAATAGAGTAAATGCCTAATTTTTCGGGTTTACTACTCTCTTTCATTTTAATACGTAGGACTGATTGGTCTTTATTAGAGACGGTTGTAATGAATTTTCTCTGCTCGGGGGAGTTGCCAAAATTTTATTTTATTTAGATTGCTGAACTATTAACGATACAATATTTGGGGCTTTGCAGATTTTACAACTTATGAGGGTTTTCCCAATAATATTTGAACTTGCTTACCTCAACTTTTACCCACCCTTCTCTTAGCTGGCTCTGATAAATGATTTGACAAGTGTTGATGCAATTGAGGATGGGAGTGGTTGCCCCCGTATCCATTCACTTCTCAGCCAATTCTCTCTTATATTCATGAAATTTATGTTGTGTATTGTCAAAGATCAATTTCCATTTTATGGAAGAGAAATCCTATTTCATCTTTATGCCTGCTTCATTGACGAAACTTAAATCTTTATGTCGCCTGGTTACAATGCCAATAATAAGCCGCATTAGAGAATGCCCTGGATAATTCGACGTTTGCGAAAGAACGTGAGTATGAGTGTTTAAGCTTAAGAGTGTGTCTGCGTCTTAATGAAGTATAAAGCTGATTTCAAAATTAAAATTAACCGAAATTACATGATACATTCATTGATTTTAAGGAAGGAAAAGACTGGCGTTTATTCCCTGAATTTATATTTTTTTTTCTCATCTAGCACTTTAGTCCCTGGATTAGTTTGTTAAGCATTAAGGATCTTGTATTGTTTCCCAAGTTATTTCATCACCCACCAAGGATCTTATTATTATACATATTGACGGTTTTCCCTTAATTAGAAGTTGATCAAGTTTAGTGTTGTTCAGATTGACCGGCAAACCGAGAGGAAACATTGACAAGAGAGAATGCGTGTTGCGGCGGTGGTGTTGGCGTGACGAGACTAACAGAAAATGATCACATTGTGTTGTAGGGGTAGTGTTCGGTTCATGACTTTGGACCCATTTTGGTGCAATTTTAAGTGGGAATCTAAATCAACCATAAATCTCAATGTCGTTCCACAATCCCATCCTCATTCTCCCCCCGCTCTCTTTTGGCTGAATCAAAATGGGAAAATGTTGTTAGAACGACGGGTTTAAGAAGTGATTATGTTTGAACTTGGAGGTGTTAAGCTGGATTTTTAAATCTTGGTGATGAGACCTTGCTGGATAAATTAAGCTACCACTGATACAATTGAATAGGGATGCCAACCATAAATGGCTAGAAAATAAAGCTTTACATGCAGAAAGAAATCGTCCCCAACTCACATACAGCGTCAAAAGATATTATGCAGAAAAATAGACAGAAGTTTGAGAAGAATTAATTATAATTATGGACAACAATCTAATCAAAAGTACATGTGGGGATGCACAATCTGCCCAAAAACATAATAAAGAATGACAATTTTCGATAATCTAACGAAACCTCGACTCTTTTTGCAATATGGCGGCAAGCAAGTGTACAACGTATGATGCCAAACAAACAAACAAATGGGATGGAAAAATATCCATTCCAGAACCTCTCTTTCAGACTAATCAGTGAAAAAAAGACACGTGGCTCCCCAACCACAACCATACAAGAGCCTTCACCAAGATGGTATAAATATAGATTATAACGCGGAAAGCAAAACCGATTGCTTCACTTGGGAGCTCCTGATCTTAACTAATAGGGTGTGCACCACTTTGGCTCCCGTCAAATAAACAACACCTCGAGATAGATTTCAAATCTCCGCTCCGTGATCCCGGTGTTTTGCACCCAGTGAAATCCCGGTTGATAGCTTTCGAAACTACTCGGAAACAGTAGTGGTCTAACTTACCTGCTCCCCAATCAAATCAAGACCTACAACTAGAAAAGTGATCCCTTGAAACAATAAGAAGTAGAAGTGAATTCCTTGGGCAGACAACAAGCTTCGTACTGAAGCGGTTAACAATATAAAGGCAAGAGCAAGTTCCTTCCGGTATAGACGATTTCTTTTAGGCTTCCCCGATTTTTTAGATGATTCTATTTTATTGAGTTCATCGATGCCTGATTCTGACGATGACCTGTGAAGGTTTGTTGTCTTGACAAGAGGATCAGATTCTTTCTCGAAAGCAACGAGATCGGTTTCGGATGATCTTCCCAATTTTTTTGTGACTATCCATTCATAGGAGCTTCCGAATCGAAACAATCCTGATATCATGGCATTGAATTTCGTCACAGACATCGTGTTCTCGAAAAGAAGGTAGGGGACTATAAATGGGAATGACCGCGGGGCTGGAAGGATGTTCAAGACAGACATAATCCCAGGAACATAACAAACCACCCATGCTGGTAGCTGAGCTTCTGGCAGGAACATGGTTAGGGGAAGAATGATGCAAAAGAGGGTAAATGAATAAAATGGCAGGATAAGCTTCCGCAACAGGAAGAACAGAAAAATCAAATTGACTTTCTTGGACAAATTAATCTGCAGTGGAAACAAAGAAAGAAAAAATTATGTGCTTGAACATACTCAAGCGATAAAAAGACTGAAAACTTCTGTTTGCTTATGAATGGTAGTCGAAAAGATTCTAATTTTCCTCGTGAGAATAACTCACAACTTGTAAACATTAGGGATAACAGGATCTTTTATGCAGCGTACACTAATTCAATGCAATACAGATCAAACACTAAAACATGGATTTGTGGTACCTTTGAACGGATTACGTCAAAAAAGCACAAGCGAAACAACTGCATGGGACCAGAATGCCAGCGATGCTGCTGTTTCTTGTATGCCTCGTAGGACTCCGGAAGTTCACAAAGGCACTGCATACGAGTAGCATGTCAACTACAACACTATTTCAACAGCATGTGAATAACAGATGAGAATGAGAGAATAAACACCTTAACATCATTGAGATATATGAATTTCCATCCACACAGATGAGCACGAACAGCAACATCCATGTCCTCAACAGTGGTCCGCTCCAACCAGCCACCACAGTCCTGCAGGGCCTTAATTCTCCATACACCAGCAGTACCATTAAAACCAAAAAAGTTAAGAAACACACCATTGACCTGTTGTTCAACCTCAAAGTGGAAGGACAAATTTATGTTCTGCAATCTGGTGAGCAGGTTCTCATCCTTATTCACAAAAGCCCATCTTGTCTGGACTAGTGCTAGATCATCATGTCCCTTGAAGTAAGAATATCCAAGAACAGCTACTAGTCAGATTTGTAAAAGTAAAATAAAATAAAAGGCGACTGATAAAGCATCAATACACTATACTAGAAATGGCTTGTTTTCCCCTCAAAGTCTAAATGAAGACGTTGAAGCAGAGCATGCTAAAGCTTCTACATCCATATCCTAGAATTACAGCAATCCCTTTTGATAAGCTAGATTTTCCTTATGGTATCAGCAGTCAATTTTTATTCTTCTCATATGCTGAAGTTTGTGGCGTCTGTATTTTTAATACTTTCTCAAAGATATCTTGCGAGAGAAATATAGCAAAGTTGGGAAGGGCAAAATTCCTGCTCTAATTGTTAAATGAGTTTCTTTATGCTTAACATTTACCAAGACAGGTTATGTATATGTATCCTGTAATGTCCTTTTCTTCCTCAAAATTCACTGTTTAACTTGCTGAATCCAATAGAATTCTAACAAGATATAGGTCATTAAGTTACCTTGAAGTGAGGAATAGTTTTCTTCAGGAAATCCGGCCCTGGCTGAAAATCTGCATCGAAGATTGCTACAAATTCACAATCTTTTACATAATCACAGCTCATTGCAGACTTGAGATTGCCTGCTTTATAGCCCGTGCGCAATAAGCGATGCCTGTACAAAATGCGGACACCGCGGTTTTGCCATTTCTGAACTTCTGCCTTGATAAGGAGTTGGACATCCAAGTCATCAGAATCATCTAGAACCTGTACAAGCATTCTCTCCCTCGGCCAGTCCATGATACAAACTGCTGCAATTGATTGCTGGTAAACCTGTGCGCCAAAACATTAAAAGTTAGACTGATTCTACAAAGATGCTTAAAGCAATAGAAGTGAGCAGATACATTATAAGTTGTAACAAAGTTTTAATCCTCTTGGAGTGGAAAAGGCACCTATAAGGTAACACAAATCCCAATATTCTAGGAAGAAAACGAAAAAATCTTGATGATCCTAATGGTTTCCTTACTAGTTTTAATACCAAAAGCAATCCCATTATTACAAAATTAAAATTAGTTGACAATAATCACTTGCAAACATATCCGGGCTACGTTTGACGACAATGTCCATAGAATTAGAAAACAAATGAATTCGAATAAAGTAACTGTATCCAAATATTTAAACTGTTATGTATACACACACACATACATGAAAAAAGGAAAACTGTGTGTCAAGCTAGGCTCAATACTTTAACCTCCTAATCCTAAAGTATTAACTAACGTATCAATGATCTACAACTAGGTAAAAGCTTAAAAGGACATAGATAAATTGGTTATTGGTTAGCTTAACTTTTTTTTTTTTTTTGCTAGAAATTGGTCAGCTTAACTGGGACAATAACAAATGTAATTTAAAACAAAAAATCACTGAACAAAGCAAAAATGGTGACATTGAAGGATACGAGACCTACATCTTCTTACCTCCCTCTCATTGCACATAGGGATCTGCACTAACACCATAGGATAATCCTCCACATTGACATTTCCTTCCTCATCCACCGACACAGCGTCGGTGTACTCCACAACCACCTTCGGCTTCAACCTCCGAAATTTGATCCAGAAGCATCCAAGTATCAACACCACTCGATCCACCGACTGCACGAGGAAGAGGATGATACAGAGATTCGTCAAGCTCTGTAATGGAGGCGCCAAGTAATTGGCCCGAATCTCGAGCCAATTGGCGTATACCCGCTCCACTAACCCTAAAACCTCCGCGGACCCCACCGACGGCGGGCTGAAATGCCATCCCTTGAAGAAGGCGACGAGCTCGAAGCAGAGGAGCAGCAGAACGACGATCAGGAACGCCTTGATCGCGCGGTAGAGCCGCGAGGAGGACGAATCGGCGGGGGAATCGGGGGAGGCGATTCGGCGGTTGGCGGTCCGGACCAGCGAGACAACGCCGCCGGGTACGGCGGCGAGAGAGACGGCGATTTGGTGGAACCTGAGGAGGCAGACGAAGGAGAGCTGGCGGGCGCTGCGAGAGCGCTCCTTCTCGACCGTCTGATCGATGGCGGGGCTCCGGATCTCGAGGTTGAGAAATCCTCCTCTGCCGCCGCCACCGCCGCTAGAGGACTCGTCCGGCTTCTTGTCCAAGAACAGCTCGCGGTCTGCCTCTCTCTGCTTATTCCACCATTCTTGAAACTCGTGGTTCGTAGCTCGAGACATGGACAATAACCCCAAAAAAAAATGTATAAATCTATCTCTATATATTATATATTATATTATACGTATGAGTGTGGGAATAGTGTGTATACGTAAAGGTTTTTCCAGATCTCGTTGTTCATGATCCTGTTCTTGAGGTGGAAGTGAAATGGTGATAGAGTGAGTTTGTTTCTGCTTATGTTTCTTCGATTTCTGTGTCTGTCTGTCCGTTGGAATGGAAAGAATGAAGGGAAGGGAAGGGAGAGAGTGATCCGAAAGAGAGAAGATTTGAGCGGCTCCCACTAAATTTAGTAGTAAGCGCTCAAGTCTTTAACCAAATATAGCGGTATTTGCGTTTGTAATGTTAGAATACAGAAAGCCCCATATCCTAATGTGCTTGTTTTGCGTATTATGTTTTTTTTTTTTTTGTCCTTTAATACATAAAATGTGGAGTTAAAAAAGGGTTATTGGTTTCATGGTCTTTGACTGCTTGTTAGTTGACGTTTTGATCCCGATTCTTTTAATTTTAACAAATACACTCCTAAACGGTATAAATATTTGTAATTGAAGAAAAAAAATCATAAACTTATATTAAGTTTTTAATAGAATATGTCACGTCTAATCTTAAATAGTAAGGTATTTTAGTAATAACAATATTTATATATTTTTGGGTGATAAGAATTAAAAACTTTATAGGTAAAAAAAGACTTTAGCTAACCAAACAAAACACAAATTCGAAATCTAAAATTCAATTGAGGAAAGGTGTTGGCAATAGAGGCATGAGATGCAATTAGGAGACTTAAAAAAAAAAAAAAAAAAAGAAAAGAAGAAGAAGAAAAAGCACGAAAGATTAATTTTAGACACCATGGCAATGAAGACTCGCATAGATATCGATTGTGATGATCACGTTGGCTTCTGCATATATCATACTAATGATGTAGGAGGCTCGATTAGTCTTGCGATGGTGCACTATTCAAAATTGCTTAAGTTGTTCTTGTTCTATGTCTTCGTTGAAACCATCCAACCTAACTGTTATTTTTCTTATTTTGAGAGACTTCAAAACAACACATGATTCCACTTTCGTAATAAAGGTTATTGGGCAGCCAACTGTCCTTTCAAAACCTCTCACTCTTGGCCGTTTGGTAGAGGAATTTGTTCCCTGATTCGAATCATGATTCGTGATTCGCTACAATATTTTCTCTCACAAAAAATACACGTAAATCGAAAATGGTTCGAATCATATGATTTGAATCCTCCAACCAAACGTTCGTTTGTGCTTCCATTCCATGCATGTATGGACGTGATGATTGTGCTCGTGTTGGGCCTTCCGACGGAGACAACAATAGATCTTTCACTTACATATCTCTCTAATAAAAAAAAATAAAAATAAAAAACTCTCTTAATGCTCTTAGAATCAGGGTTTGCATAAGATTTTCTTCTATCATCTCGCCTTCTTAGTTTTTTTTTTTCCTTTGGTGTGAGGTCTTATGTAGGGGCATTTAAGGGCATGTTCTTTTGTCCAAAAAACTTAAAAAAAGACAACTCGAGTTTCAACTTTATTCAAGTTCACGATCTTTTAAGTTTTAACTTTATTCAATTTTACTCAACTTTATTCAACTTACAACTTCAACTCAAGTTATAACTCAAATTCAACTCAAAAACTACACTCAAATTGCACTCTAAAAGAACAACCCCTAAGTCTTTCAATGCGAAAGAACCACACACGTCACACGAGAATTGCGTGTGAAAAAACTAAAAAAAAAAAGAGAAAAAAGTTAAAATGGTTTTCTTTTAATTACAAATATGTTAACAATTAAGGGTGTATTTGTCAAAATTAAAAGAATGAGAATGAAATTGTTATTTACTAAACAATTTTAGGACCACTAGTGAATAGTGATAGCTCAATTGATTGAAAAAAAAAACAAAGGAAAAGGAAAAAAAAAAAAAAAAACAACAAGTGAGACGAGAGCAAGCAAGGCATGTGCGTTTGTGGGATGACTCTCTTATTTCACACGTCTTGATTTTTGATTCCCACGCGCTAATCGCGGGGGGCAATTGCCTCTTTTTGGTTGCCCTGATGCGAGTTGAAACGTGTATATGGATTGATTGGCGCGTAAGGCAACCCCCTTTTTTTCTTAATTTCTTTATATTTTCATTTCAGTATTAATTGCTTCATTTCCCTCTAAAACAACATGGGCCTTAGGTAGCAGATTAACAGGCTTACGGGCCCAAGGCCTATTAACAAGTCGACTTCTTCCCAAGCCCAACTGTTTTCCTAACCAATGTTGTTGTTGTTGTTATTTGTTTGTTTGTTTGTTTGTTTTTTTTTTTTTTTTTTTTTTTTTTTTTTTTCGAGAGAGAGAGAGAAGAGCTAACGCTAACTGCTAACCGATGTTTTATTTTGTAGATAGTTTGAGAAAAAATAGTTAATTGTGTTTTTAGAGGAAAAAAAAAGGTTTGAGCTTCCCAAAAAAATATTGTTTTAAGGTTTTTGACTAGACTGAACGAGATTTTTTAAGGATAATACAGTAGCAAAATTGTAACAGAACTTTAATTTTATAAAAGAAAAATAATGTAGCAAAACACTTAGGGTCTGTTTGGTTTCTAGATTCACTCTCTGATTCGAATCATGATTCGTGGTTCGTTACAGTATTTTCTCTCACAAAAAATACACGTAAATTAAAAATAATTCAAATCACATGATTTGAATTCATGAACCAAACGGACCCTTATTTGCAAAAAGATTTAAACAATAGATGGAGCATATTAAACAAATGGGGAGTTACTCTTTTTAGTCCGTACATTTGTATTATGTTGTGGTTTGGAATTGGGGGTAGCAAGGGTCTGCAGTTTTGAGAAAAGTGTACGTGTGACCATTAATAGAAAAGATTGCTCAACAAAATCTTCTGCAGATTTGAGAAGAAAAAGTTACGTTTGACCATTAATAGAAAAGATTGCTCAACAAAATCGTCGTCCGATTAAGAAAACGTGGACTGGAGTAATATTATAGCCAAGTTATATTTGGTAGAACTACAGGACATCATAAAATTTTGGGTTGTGAATGTAAATTAATTTGTTAACTATTGAATTTAAAAAGGAAAAAAAAAACTATATCAGCGGTTGAAAAATAAAATAAAATCTTGGAATTTTAAGAGAAAATGTGATAAATATTTCTTAAAAGTACATAATTAGAATTTTTTACTTTTTATTTTTTATTAATAATTTCTTTAATCACTGGAATTTTAAGAGAAAATGTGATAAATATTTCTTAAAAGTATATAATTAGAATTTTTTACTTTTTATTTTTTATTAATAATTTCTTTAATCAAATAATATTAATGAGAGATAAAAATCGTAACTTACGTTCTATTTTTTTTTTTTTAATGATTGAAGATTTTGACAGAACATGCGTCTGAAAAAGTGCAATGCATTCATATTAACGAGAAAACTTGCCAAAATTGTTTTCTGACCATGGGCTGGAAAATAATAGAAGAGTGGGGTTGGAGTGGAGTGGGGATAAGGTCTAAGCAGCGCCGGGCTATGAGAAACATCAAGGAAACAACCAATCATCGCTTAATTTTATTCCAATAATGCAATATTTGATCAGGACACACAATTTCAACGTGGTTTATTTTTATTAGTACTGCGAGTCACCGACATGGTCAGGCGCAAAATTATGGGCTGTGTTGAAAGTAAGAGTTTGCGCCACCTACTTAGATGTTTTGCCTGTTAAAGGAACAACAATGTATTTCTGCAGCTTCCATAACATTTCTTCCATTTAAATAAAAAAAGGGAAGAAAAAAAAAACTTCCACAGCAGGGAAAAAAAGAGCTAAAAGAGAAGGCTTCCAAAACCGTGTTATTTATGTCGACAAAAATGATATTCATCCCTTCGGGATAAAACCTCACACTCATAAAGTGTTTTGTTTTATTAAATTAGGTCTCACTTATTTATTTAGTGAATCTCATTTTAAGTGAGTAGCGAAATTTTATCCTTATAAAGACTTATTTAATTTATTGATTTGAATTTTTAATTTGAGTTGAGATGTAATTTTATATGATAATTTTTTACAATAATAAAAAAATTAAATATGATTGTTTCTGAAAATTTTTTATTATAATAAAATTTTAATTTTAATTTTAAATAAGTGAAATGAAGTATTGTTTTTTTCGCAAACCAAAGGAAGACTTGTCAATGGATAAAAAATGTCGCTAAGCTGGCGATTCTTTAGTCTTTTTTAGTTTTTTTATTTTTTCAACCTTAAGTATTACTCAAGCGGTACTTGGTACGTTTCCCCAATAACTTGTGAGATTAAAATTGGGTTGGGCTGACCGAAAATGAAAACGGGCTTTGCTACTTTAGTATCCCCTTCATAAGGGCGTTTTAAGAGAAATGTAACGCCTTTAATTGAGTTGAGTTGATTTTATTTATATATATAGTGAGACGAAAAAATCTTGTAAGAATACCATGTCACTACATCAAAAATATAAGAAATTTACTTCCAATTAGTATAGTATCCTACCATGATATTTAGAAATAAAAGTAGATAATGGTGGAATAGGAGAGTACGTGATAAGAAGAAGAAGAGCACACACAATGTATTCAACGAGTTGTGTTCAAGAAGAGCAAATTTATAGCTTACTTCAGAAATAGCATGTTAGTTTGATTGTGCCCTTTGACTTATTTTCGAGCATAAGAGAATTCCCGCAACGATTAGTGATGGTTTCATACCAAAAATTCTGGCAAACGGCGATAGTTGGCTGGTGACCGTTAGTACCCTACTGTGATACTTTGCATTCGCCAACAGGGACCAGTGATATCTTACCGCGATACTTTTGTGATCCTACGCCGAAGAGGATTGGTATCTTACAGTGATAACAAAATTACGGCCAGCGGAAAATTACTACATAACCAATGCATTGGCGGGGCTATATAGTGGGTGGGTTTGATGTTGATTTTGGGAGTGAAAAAACACTTATTGAGACAGTAAAAGCTTTACAAGCTATTTGGTAAAAATCAAAATAGTAGATTTTTGAATAATTTCCTCTCAATCTGAAGCTAAAAGCAGAATCAGCCTAAAGGCTGATTCTAATTTCAGCTTATGCGGGAATCGTTTTGAGAGTTTAATGAAAATTTTCTATTCCCAATTTTACCCCCAATGAAATCTCAAATTTACCACCTGATAATCACATTTTCAGATGTGTTTCTGTTCTCATCTCCTCCTTTGTTATCTCTCTTCTTTGGCTCCATCCGAAGCGATCTTCCCTGGCTCCGTTCGCCGGTCTCTCTCTGTTTGCCGGTCTCTCTCTCCGTTCGCTTGTTGGTGCTCGTTTGGTTTCTCCTCCGTCTGATTGTTGATTTGCCTATCTCTCATCTCCTCTTTCGACTGCCCGT